GCCAAACCTGCAGACACGGCAGGTAAACAAACCGGCCCGGCCCGCCAGGGTGCTTACCCTGGTGAGCCACGTGCCAAAGGTTGCCGATCCCTGTTTTATATCATATTCCTCCACACCTCTTTACCAATGGGAAAAAACAACTTTAAAATATGATCAAAACACAGTATCTTTTTGTAATTTTCCAGTCATTTTAAGATATCCCCCCCTTTTGCCCCTGCAAGTACAAAACTCCTATTGGCCTTAGAGATGCTTTTTGTTTTGTTTTTAAAAAAAAAACACACAGAATTTATAATCCAAGACTTTTCAGATTAGTGATGATGAAAGATGAGGTAAAGACAGCCACTGAAAGAAAACTGGAGCTTGCAGGAATAAAGAAATGATTGGGCCTATGTATACCCCTAATGATCAGTCAACCTGCTTCCAAAATTGGTAATGTTAGAAAAACAAACACAAGGTATTCTATTCAGATACACAGCTCTCAGCGGTAAATCAATTCGACTAGTCAACATTCAATGTTTTTGCACCTTAATGCTGGTTCTGTCTCCTTGCAGAAGAATCAGTATTATCTTGCCCATAAACATCAGTCTTCCAGTCAGCCTTAGATCTGAAGTCCATTTTTCCACAGTTTTGACATATTTTGCCTTAGCTCTCATGTGATCTAAATGCAAAAGGATAGTACATATACCATCCTCTGTACTTATGCATCTTGACAAAGTACTTTTTTCATTGCAAACTGAAGTTTCTGATTGCCCAATGATGTGCTTAATATTCTGTTGTATCCAGAGGACCAGCTCATGTACCATGGGTTCAGAAAGATGTCTCTTGGCTTGCTCAAGTAATCTTTCTTTCACATCCTTACACTGTGCCCTTGTAAGCTGTTCTGAATTAATGGAGATATTCGGCAGGCTTGAGGGATAACTGACCGGCAAGTGAAATGACAGCTTTAACAGTATATCTGAATCCAAAAGTCCTTTCACGCTGGTTTGAATTCTTAATGTGATTCCATCTGTCTCTGGAAGGCATCCAAAAATAATCATAAACTGCATATAAATTACAAACTTCAGTAGCACATAAGTAAGTTAATACATTATTTTCTTTCTTAAAAAATTCAATTCAAGTGACTGATACTCTTCAGAAATTTTCTATGAAGTCTCTTACAACTCGTGACTTAAGCTGTAAGTCTCTTGCTTACATGGAATCCTGAATAAAATATTTGCATTCCATTCTAGAAGGAAAGTTATTAACATATTCTAAAAGAGAGAGTGACAACTTTTTCCTCCTTTTAAGTCTTGACAAGTCAACACCACAAAGGATTTTCTCACAAGTAAAAATTTTTACCTGGGGAGCAACAATGAGGGCAACTGAAATAAAGATTTTTTCAAAAGCTCTCAGCATTGTCTTAAGTCTGCTCCTCCCAAAGCTGATAAGAGTTTTACCATCAAATTCACTGGGAGTGAGGTTAGGCCAATGGTGAGTACTTTTGAAGATTCCACCCTTAAAGAACAGTTCTACACTAAAAATAACACTGCGGGGTTCCATGTTCTCAGCGACTTCCAGACCAAATTTTCTCAATTTACAAGTTAAAAGGTGTTTTTTCCAAACTCTTTCTTGGATTCAAAAGTCAAGCTTGGCTTGTGGCTCATCGTGAGTAATAAAGGTTCTGAAGGTCAAATTCTATCCACGGTTATACTTATGCAAAACTATAGCCTTCAGTATAGTTGGACAGTTAGGCACCCGAACAACTTTAACTCTGCTCTGTAGTGACAACATAAGAAAACAATATTGAACAGATCTTCAAAAATCAATTTAATCTCATCTGGACTGACAAACACTAAAATACCTCCATCATAATCATACGATTGTTGGTTGATGTCACTGCAGGGAAGAGTTAAGGTTGTTTGAGTGTCCTAACTGTGTGTTTCCATATCTTAACACATTTCTTTAAAGTTGAACCTTAGCTCTGAATTTTCAATGTTTACAACACATGGTTTGGGAGAATGAGAATAACATTTCTGCAGTGCATTTTTCCCTAAATTACTTGTATGTATTCTCAATCTTAACGCCCTCAAAATAGTTTTTTGTTGGTTGGGTGGGTGGGTTTGGTGGTTTTTTTTTTTTGGTCTGGAAATCTTTTAGAGTAAAAATCATACCTGAAGTGTTATAAAGGGACATTTTCTAGTAAGTAACATACAGACCATGCTCCATGCTAGAGTTGGGATAAAATGACTCTCGGCAGCATTACAGTTTGAAACTTTCACTCTATGCATCTGAAGAAGTGAGGTTTTTACCCACGAAAGCTTATGCCCAAATAAATCTGTTAGTCTTTAAGATGCCACCAGACTCCTTGTTGTTTTTGTAGATACAGACTAACACGGCTACCCCCGATACTTGACACCGTGCAATTTCTATTATAAAACCCTTTTTTGATTAAGTTATAGCTCAAAGAGAAATAAAACAAAACTTCATTACATAAAAAGAGGGGACAAAGACCTAATCTGGCTACACAGTAGTAAAAGAAAAAGAGGGTATTTAATAAAAGAAGCTCTTCCTCAGATCATCTCTGCTTCAACCTTTTGATGTATTCCAAACACTTCACCCCACTCTTTAAAAAGTTGCTAAAATGTCAAGTTGTTTTTAAAATGAAGGCAAGAGGAGACAGATTTGAAAGGCAGACTGGCAGAGTAAAGCTGACTTAAGTTTCAGAGGAGTTCTTTTGAAGTGACTTGTCTTCTCAGCGCCCTTGTTTTACTTTCCCTTACATGATAGGCAGTTGAAGAATGTCTAATTATCATTGCTGACACTGCCAACTAACTTCAGTGCCCTCTATAACATAACAGTTGAGCCCTGTTTAATAAGTGAAACAACCTGAAAATGATTTGGATACTCTTTTAAGAGATCAGCCAGAGTTTTGTTTCCAAAGCCCCATTCTTGTTCATATGAAGAACCCTCTGTAACATTGTAGTCTAAAATAAAATAAAATAAAAATAACCAAGCCCTTCATACCAAATGATCAAACACTAACATTACATTCAGAAAGGTCTCCAAACACTCTCAGTCATCCTCATTCTGAATAAAAACACAGGGCCAATTCCACCAATGGCAGCAGCAGATGCAAATCAACTGAATTCAGTTGAATTGCACCAGCTTATGCTCACAGTTTGTTTGGCACTTCAGTACTAATACCAGAATTTTAAAAAGTGCCTGTGGGCATTAAGGGACAGCTTTTAAAGGCATTTAGGCATCTAACTCCCATTTAACAGCCCATTCCTCATTCGCTTTCAAAGGGACTCCTTTGAATATCCCAGCCTTTACAGTTTTTTAGAAGCAAATTTAGTGTTCGTAAAAGGTGCAGGTTGAGAGCAGATTAAAGTCTCCAGATCTATGCCTAACGTAGACACACACATCCAGACTCTCCCTCTACAGGCAGCAGCCTGCTGGCCAAGCAGTTGTTGGCCCACAACCCTGCCAATGGACCTCAACCCTGACCTAGAGAGATTGCTTCTCAGGGTAAGAGATGAGTTCAGCATTCATCCCCATTCAGTCCTTGGCCTCCCTGCTGAAATTGCCCATTATTATTATTATTTGTTTTATTATTGTGAGAAGTTTGTGTATAGTTTACATTTGTTTGTTCTCTCTCTCTGTATACATATAATTTCATAAAAAGTTAATAGGGAAAAATATTATTTGTTTTGTAGTAGCACTAGGCTAGGCTCTATACATATATACACCTTTACCCCGATATAACGCTGTCCTCGGGAGCCAAAAAATCTTACCGCGTTATAGGTGAAACCGCATCATATCGAAGTTGCTTTGATCCCCCGGAGCGCCCAGTCCCCCCCCCCCCCCCCCCCCCGAGCGCTGCTTTACCGCGTTATAGCCGAATTCGTGTTATATCGGGTCGCGTTATATCGGGTTAGAGGTATACTTAGATTGTAATTACACATTATAGTATTTAGACTAAACTCTTGGGCTATGTGAGGATTCCTCCCCCTCCATGTCAGCCCAGGGAGTTTGGATATTAATGATGAACTCTCATGCTTTGTTATGAATATAATATAAATTGTTTCAGTCAGAAAGCAGAGTAGGGAGGAGTGTGTGACTCAAAGATTGGAAATGGAATAGAGAGCCCTTTTCCCGTAGTGTACTAGTTTGAGTCTTACCTAAGGTGGTAATGACCAAGTAATTACCATTGATTGCTATTTAGTGATGTGTGTGAGACAAAATGATGGTCTCATTATAGTTCTGAGTGACCAGGTGTCCATGTTATACAAAGCTACCATCACAGTTACTTAGATTGTAATTACACATTATAGTATTTAGACTAAACTCTTCAGGGCAGGGTTTGTCTAAATACTATACTTCTTCACTGGCCTCCCCGTGCCCCCAACATCTTGTGTACTGCCACACAGGTACCTGGCACATACTTTAGCTCTGTACTGCACATGGGATAACCTGCACAACCTTCTCACTCTAGCCTCTGTCAGCACAACAGCAAAAGTGAAGGCTGTATTTGCCCCTAACCATACTAAGCATTTTTATATTCCTCTCCTTGCACCATCTTACTTAACAGTGTTGCCAGTGAATTTTAAAACTCAGACACTAAAATCAATTGGAGAAAAATTCATTTCCTGTTTAATTACTGCAACAGAAAAAGATGTTGCCTTTCTGGTAATCCTATCACGTTTTTTTCACTAATTTGTGGTCCCAGATCTCACTGACTTAGAAGTAACTGATAGGGAGACAGACAAGCCAATTTTACCCCTTAGGCTAGAATCTCATGCTGCAGCGATCACATCCTTAAATCTGCAACAATCTCACACCTTTCACTGTGGGAAACACATTGCTGTGATGGTGAACTAATCTGAAAGAAGCAGCACAGCAGCAAATCTGGAGGTGTATCGTTCCGAGCCATCATGAAAAAGGGCATTAAAAACCAGCCACATTCATTTACGTCTGCTGGAGGCACTTACTTTTAAACAGAGGACTGGTGCAAAATCTTTATGGTCTTAGAATTTAAAAAAATATCTAAGTATATTTACAGTTGATTTAAGCATGATATTGGCCCTTTTATACACTCAAGTTGTAGACTGCTTGCAGCACAAAGACAGCAAATGATCAGAACCCTTCACAAATGGATTCTACAGAAACTATTCCTATGTTCGCACAAACTACAGCACCTGAGTTGACTTCATATCAGAATGTGGTATCTGAAATAAGGAGCAGCATATTACCATTCTGATGAAATTTAATGTGCTAATAAAACTGAACCCAATACAGTTTTTTTTAAACACATCCTCCTTCCCCTTCCCCCCTACACCTAGCATGCTTATCAGTAAATTCAGCTCTGGCATACTTCAGGTTTTTTTTTTTATGTTCCATGTCAGCCAGAGAGATCCCCTCCTCCTCTGCCAAAAGACACTGTATGCAACACATACATTCCATTTTTAACTGAGAAACTACCTACAAAAGTACAAGCTTTGAATATGTACATATATTTTTATTGCAAGATTACTAAACAAACTAGAAAGAAGACAGTGGATTAACTAGTAAATTATGGAATTCTATCTGTAATACTAATCCTTCCAAAGAGGCATGTAAAGTAAGAGAGACATACTGTAATTAGCTCATTTAAATTAATCAACACATTTTTAATAAGAAACATCTTTTGCATCTTAAGCACATCATTGTTAAACCTTAGAAAGCTAAAGGTTTTAGTCTACCAAGAGATGTGGAAGAGCTTCTTCTTACATCCCTCAAAACCATCAGTCCCTAAAGGCCCCTTTTCTGACCACGTGAATCAACCCAGGAATAACCTAAATTTCTCAGAGATCACATCATTTAACACAGAAACCTTAATGTAAAGTGTCTCTGTGCACTGTTTATTAATGACAAGTTGTATTATCAGAGAAAATTAAGCATAAGCAAATAGTATAATATAATAAATAATAACATAAGCGGCAAGACCTCCGTTTGCACAAACTCAGGGATTCTGCATCTCTAATCCAAAAGAGCAGGAAATTCCCTACAAAATCAATCAGTTACAAAAACAATGTCCACACCCAAAGCATTTTTCAGATTCCAGTGGAGAATGCTAGAGATCAGTCTGAGAAATGACAGACCAATGGATCGTAAAGAGAGTTTGCTTAAAAGCCATGCAAAGTCATATAACATTGAGATAATTTAAATATAATACTGTGTTCATTCATACTCATGGTATTTAATCCTATGTTCTAGGAAGGGTTTTGAGCCTTTTACGTTTAATCACTTATGAACATCTGAGACCATTCTCTCTATATATGAAAAAAGGCACAACTCCTCTAATAGAATCCAAGAAATACACGAGTGTGCAATATTTGGGAAAGATTGTATTTTTAATATAATAACCCCACTAAGTTACTTAACTATAGTTTGGAAAATTATGCTTGGAATCATTTTTCTGAAAAATCAGATTTTTGTTTAGTAAAAATTAAACTTCAACTGTTTCACTTAAAATGTTTTAGCTAAGATGTTTTAAAACCATGACTTTTAATTCTAGTCTAGGAAAACTGTAATGTGTGTCATGTCAGGGGTACCCAGTCACAATACAATTCTATTTTGCAGTGTTGACAGATCATTAAAAGTGCCCCTGAATTGTGCTAATTCCTTTGGCTGTTGAAGACAGGGATCGGCAACCTTTGGCACGTGGCTCGCCAGGGTAAGCACCTTGGCGGGCCGGGCCAGTTTGTTTACCTGCTGCGTCCACAGGTTCGCCGCTCCAAGCCAATGGGGGCTGCGGGAAGCCGCAGCCAGCACATCCCTCGGCCTATGCCGCTTCCCATAGCCCCCATTGGCCTGGAGCGGCGAACCGCAGCCAGTGGGAGCCCGATCAGCCGAACCTGCGGACGCGGCAGGTAAACAAACCGGCCCAGCCTGCCAGAGTGCTTACCCTGGCGAGCCGCGTGCTAAAGGTTGCCGATCCCTGGTCTAAAAGTTTGTGAACAAACTACCACTGAAATAACTCAATCAGTTTATATCACACCTTTTATTTTGGTGCAAGTCTATGTGTAGACACACATCTCATAATAAAACTGTCTTACTTTGATTTAGTTTAAGTCAATACCCTACTGATTTAAGTTAACTGAAACAAAAGTGACACGGTAAGTGAGGTAATATCTTTTAATGGACCAACTTCTGTTGGTGGAAGACAAGCTTTCAAGTTACATGGAGCTCTTCTTTAAGAACATCCACACAAAAACTTGCACCAAAATAACAAAGACATGAATTAAAACCAATTAAGTTATTTCAGTCCCAGTATGCTTGTAGATAAACTCTAAGGCTTGATCATGGTTTGGGGATAAAGTTATGGTCTTCTTTAAACAGGGTCCTGCAGCTCTGATTGTAACTGTAGGGGAGGCCCCTTTCTATCACTCCAGCAGCATAAAGGGATCTTCACGTGGGTAAAAACGGCCCCCTGAGAATATCCTACATGTAAGGGCCACCCTGGCTGCTCTAAGAACTAGTGTAATGGCTCTACATTTACCCTGCTCTCAAGCCTCCAGCATAGGGGGCCTGACCAGAGTGCACCACACTATGGCTATTCTCTGCTTCCCCAGGACCCATAGGGAGCCCTGGGAAGCAGACAATAAATTACAGAAGCCCTGAGGATGGTCTAACTTACACCACGCCGAACCCATGCAGTTCAAGAATATGGGAAACACAAACATGCACAAAAGACACTTTTGATCGCTGCACCAATTGTAGGGCAGGAGTGATTGAGATTCAGGCCCCATGTAAATAATGATAGCTACCATCTATTAAACATTATACAACCCTATGTGGCCTCCAAGCCTTGTTACTTATCTCAAGTATAACTGCTTATCAGGTTAGTTACACTTTTCACTGGTAGGTAGCAAATTCTGATTGGTGTCATTCACCTATTGTTATTTACTGAATGCAGGTCCAATGCTGGGAACTAGAGGAGATAGCAAATTGTGACAGGAGAGTGACACCCATTAGGATTTGCCCTGTGCCAAAGATGCAAACAGTAAAGATACATGGTAGGAAATTGACAGGCAAAAGACACCTTTCTGAATTTGCTACCACTAATAAAAGGCAAGAGATTAAATGAGTTATTTACAGTAGCATTTTTGTGATGGGAAAGCATGCAAAAATAAATAAACTGTCAGAATTTGCTATAGGAAGCAAATTCTGATAGTGACGCATTTTATAATGCTGCAGTCCAGAGAAGCTAAGTGTTTCACCAACATATTGGAAGCATATTTTATGGGCATTAGTACTGTTTAGTAGTCTAATAGTGAACTTCTGCAAAGCACCACAGAGGAGTCTAGGGTTCTTCAGAGGTGGCTGGCAGCAGAAAAGAATGCTTAGCTCAGCTCACAAGCAGATGCTAGGAGACAGGTAGGATGCAAGGGTAGTGCTTGCTGTGAGGGTACATTATGGAAAGGTTTTTAATTTTCATAGATGCTAGAGACCTCTTAGATCATCCAGTCTATTGCCCTGACAGCACAGACCCGGAGAGAAAGTGCATCCAATATTAAACTGATAGTACACCTGATAAAAAAGGAAAATCATTAAGGGGTATGGAACAGCTTCCATTTGAGAAGAAATTAAAAAGATTGGGACTGTTCATCTTATAAAAAAGACAGCTAAGAGGTGATATGATAGAGGTCTATAAAATCATGAATGGTATGTATGGATAAAGTAAATAAGGAAGTGTTTTTTATGACTTCACATAATACAAGAACCAGGGGTCACTCAATTAAGTTAATAGGCAGCAGGTTTAAAACATACAGAAGTACTTCTTCACACAACACACAGTCCACCTGTGGATCTAATTCCCAGGGGATGTTGTGAAGGCCAAAAGTATAAGTGGGTTTAAAAAAGAATTAGAAAAGTTGATGGAGGACAAGTCCATCAATGGCAATTAGCCAAGATGGCCAACAACACAACCCATGCTCTGGGTGCCCTAAACCTCTGCCTGCCAGAAGCTGGGCGAGGATGGATCACTCTGTAACTGTCCTGTTCATTCTCTCTGAAGCATCTGGCACCAGCCACTGGCAGAAGGTAGGATATTGGGGTAGATGGACCACTCGCCAACCTTATAAGCCACAGAACAGCAAGGAGTTAAAGGAACAAGGTACCAGTTTTCCAGGGGAGAAGACACCCGAGGTATCCCTTTGTCTGTGACAATGCTTACCACAGACCAGCGCTCCATCCTGCACAGGATGGGACTCCTGAATTCAGGACAGACTTGGCAAAAGTCTGCCTAGAACTGGTAGGGAAAGGGGGAGCTATGCTGAATACTGACCGGATTAGACACCCACCACCTTTGCCCCACCCCAGATCCCACCTTCACTGACCCGCTCTCCCACTACAACTCATAGGAAATCTCCACTGACACAAACCGCTAAGGAGCCAGGTCAGTAGGTAGGAAGGAAAAGAGGCGAGGAAGGGGGAGGGGGGTTTGCTACGAAGTGCTGCCTAGCTGTCAGGGGCTACTGGCTGCTCGGCCTTGGGCAAAGTGGCATCTCTGCGGGGAGGGGACCAGGGGGCTGCGGAAATAAACGCTGCCCTGCGGCCTGACCCAGCCTCGCCCCACGGGACCCGCGCAGGTCGGGGGCTCCGAGCTCTCCGAGCAGGGTCTGCGCTGCTGCTGCGGGTCGGGTCGGGCCGGGCCATGGGGGCAGCCGGCCGGCTCTGGCGCCCTGCAGCCGGCACAGCAGCCCCGCCTGCGGCCGCGACAGTCACCTGACACGGCCAGCACCGCGCACTCATCCCGCTGGCAGTAAATAGCCGTCAGAGCCGAGAGCTCCTCCAGGGCCAGCGCCGACATGGCGACCAGCGGCCCCTGCCAAGCGCTCCGCTGCCTGCCGGGGCGGGCTGCACAGGCCGCTTCCCCTTCCGCCGTCGCTAGAACCTGCCTCCGCCCTGCGGGGGCGTGAGCCGGACCCGCGGCAGCTAGGGGGCGCCCCGGCAGGTCAGCGAGCCCGCCGGACGGAGCTAGCCGCTTCCCTCCTCACTTCACAGCGCGGGTCTCGGTGCACTGGCCCGCTCCGCCAGAGGGGGGAATCCCAAGGCAACGGGCTCACTGACCGCACAGCGCCTTTCATGGCCCTTGTTTGGAACAAACCAGCTCACGTGTTACATGCTTTAGCCCCGCTCCGGGCAATGAGGCCTCGGCCGTGCCCGGGTCCCTCCCAGCCGAGCTGCTCCGTGAATTCCGCAGCGAGTAGCACCCAACAATTGTCTTTAGAAGTGACGCCTCGTGCTTAGTGTCAAGGACTGTGCGAGCCGGTTCCTGCCGTCAGTTTTCAGCTCTGCCACCTTCTTGCTGTTGGCCTTGGACAAATTCATAGAACCCCTCTGGGCCTCAGGCTACTCCTCTCTAAAATGGGGATAAAAAGGTGTCAACCTCACAGGAGCGTTGTGAGCCTTAATCAGTTAACAGAGCTAAACAGTAATAATAAAAACAAATAGTCAACGCAGGGGATTATAGTGTTTATCTGGTAGCAAATCCTACAGTTAAATTTCCAGTGAGGGGGAATAGTACTGCAGGGCACCTGGCACTTTTGCCTCAGAGATTAAGTACGGTTCTTGGAATCCTAAACTGCTCTGACATCCTATATCAAGCAGCCAACTGGTGTCAGTAAATGCTTTTCTAATTGCCCCCATCTGAATGGACACTTTCCTATATTTAGTGCTGAACCACCTGGGCAGAGACAGTCAGTTTTCATAGACTTATTTCCTTTTTTAAAATGTTGCCTTTAATCAACATAGTGAAAGCATTATCAAAATTCTTCTAAGACCATTAATTCCAAATATTATTGTTTGTATTGCATTGGCACTTAGTGAACCAAACCATTATGCTGTACTATATATACATAGTAAGAGAGAGTACCTGAAGAATTTACAATCTAAACAGACAAGGGGGGGAAATTATCTTCTTTTTACAGATGGGAAACTGAGGTGCAGAGAGAGGAAATTACTTATTCAAGATCACACAGCAAGTCTGGGCAGAGCCTAGAATTGAACCTACATCTCTTAAATCCCAATCTAGAACCTTCATCACAAGACCATCCTTCCTCTCTAATGGTCAAAGTTTAGAGAAGGCCCCTCTAAATTCTCTCTCATAGCTGGAGTTAGATTTATATCTAATGTCAAGGTAGTATGATGAACAATAAGATAGCATTAAATATTGTCTGTATTTAAAAGTCCCCACACTCCATTTGTGGCAGGATGTTATAAAGACTATACAAAAACTGACATCAGTGGGGACCATTTTTTTTATTAAAATTTTATTTTAAAAGCAGTTTTTGAAAACTGAAAAATAAACCTGCTGCTATTTTTAATTCCTTAAATCCTGTTAAAATTATAAAGAAATATTGGGAGGCTGAGCTGAAAATGAATGAAATAGTGTGGAAAAAAAACCAGGACTGAAGCTGTCAGAACAGTTGCTAGGTAGTTCCTGAAGCTGTCAGGAAAGCATCTGTGGAAATTAGCCTTAAAATCACCTCATTCTGTTATTAAGAACTTTCTTGCCACCAGTTTTTTTCCCTTTTCCTAATCCACTTTGCATATTCCATTTCACATGTTTAAATAAAAAAAATAAGTCAATGTAAATGTCTTTTAAATTGACACTATCACAAGACATTGAGGTCCCCATGAATAAGTTACTGCACTCTGACATTTGGAAGTCATCAAATAAGACAGTATAATGTCAGCCTGATATTTCTCATAGTATGAAAATATCAGCTTCATGTCAAAGATCTAAATTCCATCTTTATGTAATAAATTTTCTTGTATTCACAGACTGATGAGATTGCTAAACATTTAAATGTGAAATGAACTTTTACAGTACAGCCAAGCCTTCATATTCCATTATTATTAAACTAAGTCAAGATCTCTTTTCCTCTTTTTAAAAAATTCTTCAAACATTATGATGTTTGATAGAATATCATTAACTGCACTCACTTCTTCAAAGGGATGCTTTCCCAGCAACACAAGAGAAATAGTTCAAAATTCCTTAGTTCTTTTGAGTTAGTCTATCTTAAAACAGCTCTGGCATCCTGTCATAAAATGGATTTTACTCTGACGATGCTAATATTTTACATGCACAGCATACAGCATTTGGGCCTTAATACATAAACACCAACAACTTTGGCAATACTCTGATCTTCCCAGGGCTGTTTAAAAAATGGTATTGTCCTACACTATGATCACCTGCCCCAACAACTTAGAGGCTGCATCATCACTCATTATTGTGTATATATGAAGGGCATTTTAGACCTCTCTAGTCCCCCAAATTATTTGACTTGAAGAGGAACCCACAGCAGAGCAGCAGGAACCCAGATAGAGAGGAAGGAGCAGCATGGAATGTTGCACTCCATATATTTACCACCAGCTTCTCCACTTATTCTCCATACAGGCTGCCTGTACAAAATTGAAAGGAGGGTGGCCTTGCTACAGTGGACTGCCAGGGAACAAGTGGTCCATGTGCTCCATTTCTCTTTGTAGGCATGCCTAAAAAAAAAGTGTAAAAGATGGATTTCATTCATTATGCTCAAAGTGTCATTATCTTTCCCCTTTTAGGGGTCACAGAACACAGATCTTGATTTGGAACCAATAATAGCATTGTAACTTGGATGGCTGAGATGTGGGGATGAAAGAAGCATTGAGGAGTAAGATTCTCTGTATAACTAGGGAGGGTTCCACTTGGTTTGATCCCGGTTTCCTGCAGAGCCCTGACCTATGTCCCCCACCCTCTACAGCACAGGCACTAATCACACCAGAATATGGGCTGCTGCTTCAGAAACAGATCCTCTAATCCTCCCCAACCCTTCGGGGAAAATGTTACCCCTTATCTCCCCTCCACCCCCCGGCCCCAGTATCTTTTTATACTGAACACAGATATGGGAACTATTAGGCTAGGTCTACACTACCCGCCTGAATCGGCGGGTAGAAATCGATCTCTCGGGGATCGAATTATCGCGTCTCGTCGGGACGCGACAATCGATCCCCGAATCGACGCTCTTACTCCACCAGCGGAGGTGGGAGTAAGCGCCGTCGACTGCGAGCCGCGGAGGTCGATTTTGCCGCCGTCCTCACAGCGGGGTAAGTCGGCTCCGATACGTCGAATTCAGCTACGCTATTCGCGTAGCTGAATTTGCGTATCTTAAATCGACCCCCCCCCCTCCCGTAGTGAAAACCTGCCCTTAGACTCTGTTCTGACAAACACATACATGAGTAACTTTACATGAGTATAACTATGAGCTCAAAAGGACTAGTCACCTATGTAAAGTTACTCGTGCCTAAGTGCTGAATCAGAATTAACTTGTTGGACTTCATCTTTTAATAATAGCATGGTTGCTTTATGACAACATTGTGGCGTGCTATGCAAACATGACTAACAGAATAAAGAGTGAATTTTTAAGAAAAGCTTTCCATTACTCTCCGATATAAAAAAATGCATGAAGATCTCATGTAATTTGTTGTTGGGACAAAGCCAGAGAACATATGGTAAACACATATGGTATTTGTAGCCTTAGCTGAAATGAGAAACCACAAGTTACCTAATCCATCCAGGGTATGAATATACTGCTTACAATTTCCACGCAGATGCTTCACCAGTTTGGAAGAGCTTATTTTACAGCTTCAGATTAGATGTCATAACAACAAGCACTTGTAAGTCTCTTTATAACAATAAAGTTACAGATGAAAAACCAACTGCACATTATACATTTTAAAAGAACTTTGATTTTAACTTTAAAAAGTACTTATTAATATCTACCTGACAGACACTGTACTTCTCAATGAACTCAACATGCTACTGTATTATTTATACTGCCATTTATGTTAGGAAAAATAAACCTGTTGTGCACATGATGTCATTCCCAGACTTCCTAGGCAAACATGAAATTCTACTAACTTGACAAAACATTTCTTCTTTCACTTTCCCAATACACACAGTGATATACACCACATTAATTCTGTCTACAATAGCATTTGTTGGGAAATCTCCTACTGTTGCACCAGAAATAGTGCAGATCCTACAATCTCTGCTGTAGCAATGGTGACAGAGCACAGGCATTTTTACCACATAGACTTGTTCTGTGTAGGATTAGATAACATGGAGTTTTGAGTTAGCAAATGGTCTGTATTAATACTCCCACTGTAACAACCACTTAATGCTAGCTAGTGGGAGATTCCCAAAAAATCTAGTACAGACACAGCTATAGAGAGCTAGATGAAAACCTATAAAACTACCCCAAATAAGGCTAAAGGCAAGAAAGTAAATAAAATGTTTAAATGGACACATCCACGGCAGATGTGAAAAAGATTTAATAAAGAATAAAGGGAGATTTTTCTTCTTGCATTCTAAAAATTATAAACGTGAGTTCTGCATATGCATTGTCTCCAGTAGAGCTAGTCAAAATATTTCCATCAACAAAATTTTGGACAAAAAAAATTGGTCTTTTCAAAAACAAAAATTTTGGCAGAAAAAAATAATAATTGAATTTTAAATTAAAAAATAATTGATGACAAACTGAAAAACACAAAACTTTTTGGTAAAATTTGTTTTCAAAATGTTTTTAAAATGGTGTTTGTTTTTTGAAACTGAATATTTTGTTTTTTGTCAAAAAGGAAACAAAGGATCAAGATGCCTAAGAATATAGAAAATATCTGATGGTATTTGGCAAGATTTCAAGGACAGGCAAATATACATTAGCTAAAGTGATGGGTGGCTGAATTTCAGTACAAGACAAGGGGATCCCTATATAGAAATTAGAAATAGAAATATCCCATCTACTAGAACTGGAAGGGACCTTGAAAGGTCATCGAGTCCAGCCCCCTGCCTTCACTAGCAGGACCAAGTACTGATTTTGCCCCAGATCCCCAAGTGGCCCCCTCAAGGAT